ATATGATAAATAAAACTGAAAAATGTAAAACCTAGAAATTATTTGATTCAATGAGACTGAGAATATCCAATTGAGCATAACCACACAGAAAAAAAATTGTAATTAACGTTGTGACAAGAGGAAAAGTATTTTAAAGATCTAATTAAACTTTGTGAATATAAAACAAGCCAAAAATGAAAAAAAAATGTAACCAAGAAAAAAAAAACTTACAAAACTAGAGATAATATATATATATATATATATATATATATATATATATATATATATATAAGACTTTTATATTATAAATATTTTAGTAATTTAAACGAAGACATAGACGAGGAGACGATGAATATGATAAATATTTACATTCCTATTTCTATCCATATAATTAAAAAAATCAGATATTACATGTATTCATACTTATATTTAATCAATGTGGGAAATTCTGGTAAATGAATTCAAATAATATTTATGGAGATAGATTTATTTGTCATCACCATATTTAGGTATTTTCACCTGAGTTCTTATTAAATTTTTATTGTTTATTTTTTTCCATTAACTAGATTATGTGATTGTAATGTTATTTCATTCTACATATTAAAATATATAAATATTTATATATATCGTATGATCGTCCGTCAACCTTGGACCGGACGGTCCAAGCTGTTAATCATGTCACAAACATGACCACACACTACTCCTAAGATCATGTGATTGTTACCAATAGGTAGAACGATTAGCTTATAAAGAAATTACCTCTAATACTGATAAATTTAAGACAAAGTATGTTTATTATCAATTAGACCGTAATTAGGTTATCACTTATTCAAAGCCTATTCTAAAATTTATAAATACAGATTTGAGATAAAGAAATAGGTGATGACATTTAATAAAGATTAATAGTCTGTGTTGCTGAATCTTTACTAATTTTAGCATTAGAGTATAGATAATCTTTAAGTACAAAGACAAACGGTAACGCAAGAACGAACATTTGAATCACTAATAACGTGTACAACAATATACCATTGACCCCAACCCCACACCTGAAATAATTAATATAAAAACAACAATTAACCTTTATCATTTTCATTTTCGATTTCATTATCTAATACATTTTGAATATTAAAACACAATAACACGTGAAGTAAAAAAACCCAGAACAAAAATAAATCAATTATTTTGATGCTCATAGACTATATTTCGAGTATATATGATAGTGGAAGGAAGGTGTGTTTGTACTCATTGTGCATGAACAGTGATGTATAGAGAAGAACAACATAAAAGTGGAGGAGCACGAAGATAACACTCAGCACTTACACTGTCATCATTTTCCTACATAGCCATTGGCCATGTGTTGCCAAAGCAAACACGTGGAGAAAGTAAATAGGGACATTGAAAAAGACAAGACAAAATGTCACAAAATTCTCTACAGTTGTTTCCATCATGAAACCATAAAACAAATGCTGTTTCAAATGTAACAATCCATTAACCAAAAGAAACCATAACTGTCACTTATTTTTTCTTGGTTGTGTCACATCATTTCCATGGGTCGGTTAACGTGGTTTACTAAAAAATAAGGCAAGTTTTACTTCATTGCGTAAATAGGGCACATGCAAAGCAACTTCTCAAAGATACAGGACAATAAAATAACAGGGAAATAAAAAAATCTATATTTCTTTCTATGTTTTATATTACTCACTAATATACTTTTTCATTACTGAAAAAACAAAAAAGTAGTTGGTTGCCAACTTTTACTTGTTTAAACCTTTGGATCGTCTTCATATTTGTTGATAATCTCAAATGAGACCTTGTTTTTTAAATTATCAAAATTGGTTTCATATATTTATAAAATTAAGACAATTAAGTTCTGTCCATTAAGTTTTCATAAACGGCGTTAAAATTTGCTAATGTGATACACACTTAATCTGCTGATGCATGTGTCTTATATTACGTGAAATTTGTTATTTAATTTGTTATTAAGTCTTGTATAAGTGTTATATGACGTGTTATGTTATATTATTTAATTGTTCAGATTAGAGATTTCTTCGGATTAGGAGATCTTTAATGAAATAGGATTTGAAGCATTGTGACCGGAAAGGACCCCTCCGCCAACGACGACGGTGATGGTTGTTGAGGTGGTGAACAATTGAAACCAAGGAAAATTGAAACCTACTGAAACAGAAACAACAAAAAGGGTAGGAAAAAAATTAAAATTTCGGGAGAAGGTGTTTTCAACACATGGTTCCAGAATCTTCTTCCACCCCATCATCTAGGGAACGAAACCCACTTTGAAAATCGAGTTTTGGGAAAAACCTAAAAGGAAAACTGGGAAAGATCACGATGGGGGTATCGAATTGTTGCGTATCCGGGCTTGTGGGAGAGGGTTGAGGGTGACACTGTGAGGGAATAGTGAGAATAAGGTTTTGGAGGTGAGAAGAAGGGTTAATGGCAGAAATAAATTTAAAGGGGAGTAATGGTGGTTTCCGAAGCAGTTTCTACGGTGCTAAAACCATGGATACGAAAGGAGTTTAACAATAGAAGAAGCAGTGATGGTGTTTTGGTTATAATTTTCCAGGTTGAGCCCTACTCCCTTTTTCATTGAGCTAATTATTGTTGTAACTTTTGCTGAGAGTATTTTTAAATCAGTAAGTTTATTTACTTGTGTAAGTTAAAAAATTCCACATAATATAACAGTTTTACATTAGTAGATTAAGTGTGCACCACGTCAGCAAATTTTAACGTCGTCTGTGAAAACTTGACAGACAAGATTTAATTGACTCAATTTTTCAAATATTTGGACTCAATTGAGATAGTTTTACAAATATATGAACTCAATTGAGACAGTTAAAAAAACGAGAATCCACTTCAGATTTTCTAACAAATATAAAAACAATACGAGGATTTAAACCTATTTTTGAATAAGCCATAGATAATAAGTAAGTAAACCCTACTTTTGAATAAGCCATACATAGTAAGTAAGTAAGTAAACCCTAATAAGCCATATTAAGTAAGCTACCAATCATGCGTTGTTGTTCTGAAAAACATGTTTTTTGTTCTTACATTATGATTGATGAAACTTCTTGAAAAAAAATCGAAATTCAGAATCAATGATAGTGCTCTTATTGAAAACGAATACGACCTAAGATTGTAGATCACAAAACCAAGTGGGTAATTAACCTATCAATGGATGAAGAAACACTCTCCAACAACAACGATGAACAAGAAATTTATTAAGTCAAGAATTTCATTATTATATATCATCATTATTTATTTGGCCAAAAAAAAATCTAACTTTATATATGCTAAATGAAAATGAAGGTATAAAGATACCAATGTTACAATCTACTACATCTCACCAATTGAACTTTCTCTCTACATATTTTTCCCTTAGATTTTTCACCAAAGCATTCACAAATAGTTTAACTAATTACTCACAAATAATTTTCAAGAAAAAATTTTAATTAATTATTCACTTAAGATAATTGATAAAAAAAAAATCACTCACATTATCTCCATTCTATGTCTGCGTCCATTGCTATCTAAAATAATAAAAGTATCCGGGTGTGGTTAAGATTTGAAATAAATTTGTAACATAATATACGTGTTAATATAGTATGTATGGTTAAATCATAAAATAATATTAATATGATACTTAAATTAGGCTGGATTTTACAATTGATGTTTTAGAATAATACATTTCTTATCTAAATAATATTATCATGTGACAAAAAATATTGTTTATCAAACAAAAAAAAATATTAGTAATACATTATTATTCACAAAAATTATACTTTTGTAAGAAATATTAATTCTGAAAAATATTGAAAAGATTATTTTAAATACAAATCAAATACATCTTAAAGGGTATATTGATCTACTTTTAAAAGTTGAATATGTTTATAACAGTGTGTATATCAATAACAATACAAGGAATGATCCTAACAAGCTCACAAATTAATCAAAATTTATTAACATTTACTAACTAATATAAGAGAATAGAATATAAGTTTATAAGAAAAAGACAAGTTTCATGATGAAATGATATGGCTAGCATTTCTGTAATAAATAATGATTAAAAAATGTTATCAATTATTACTTTTTTATTATGAGACAAGATGTGTGAGGATTTGATTTGATATTGCACCATTTGTAATATTCTTCTTCCAAGTGCTGAATCCATACTCAACAAAGAGAATATGTAGAATATGCTATTAAAATGAAATAATTCATTTGTTTCAAAAAAAAAAAAAAGAGAGGAGATTTTAGTGGCATTGGTCATACCCTATTCCATTGTGTATTACACTATTATCACTACTAAATATCATGACACTGACTACACTACTCACATCAATACCCACAAAGAAAAACATTACAAACAAATGCATAAAAATAGGACTGCTAAAAATATGTTATATTTTGTTTGATGTGTTCTCCCAAAGCACTAGCAATGTATATATGTATTTAACTATGAGATCTTATAAAAAATTTAGAAGAAGAAAAAAATTAAGACAGAGATATGTTTATCTTTTTTTCTTTGCTTATTTTTGTATATATCTATGTGCTTTCATAAAGGAACATGCAACCTCAGGTATACTCCTAAATAGAAAATATTTACCAACAATCTTACTTAATGGTAATACTACAATAAGTAGTCTCATTCATTAAATTCAATATTTGAAAACTATATTGATCATACATATGAACATCTGAACCTAACAAAAAAAAATCAACTATCAAATCCAAAATAACACCACCAAATTTCATTTGATTGAAAATTGTGTTGTCTTGTCTTTTTCATAAACAATTTGAGAATACACACATGTGTATAAGATTAAATGAATAAAACAAGAAGTTATTACAATACATAAAGTAAACATAAATATTTTACCAAAACCAAAAGGTGATCAATCATATTTCAAAAATAGTCAACCTCATTATCATTCTCCACTTTCTTCTTTTCCCCATATATAAAGGTCATGCAAATACATAAATTGCAATAGCCATAGTTACAATAATGAAGCTTGCTATGAGAGTAGCTTCAATCCAGCCACGTGCATCATCCTCTATTTCTCAATACAACCCTACTTGTCCATTTTTTGAATCCAACATAAGCTCACAATTCAGCAAGTCTTTGCCATCATGGAACCAACTCAAACCCCCCTCAACCAAATGCAACTTTCCCAAACTTAGACACAAATGGAAGCAATACCAAGGAATTGACCATTGGAAAGGTTTGTTGGATCCTCTTGATGATAATCTACGTTGGGAAATTTTAAGATATGGCCACTTTGTAGATGCTACATATAACTCTTTTGATTTTGACCCTACTTCTCTTACCTATGCTACCTCTCTTTATTCAAAAAAGTCACTTTTGAAAAAGTGTGGTATGGAAAATTATGGGTATAAGATATCAAAATATTTATATGTCACATGTGGAATTCATGTGCCAACATGCATAAATAAAATTTTCAAAAAGTTGTGTATCAAATCTAGTTTAGTCGGATACATAGCAGTATGTGTAAATGAGAAAGAAATTGTTCGACTCGGTCGACGAGACATTGTTATTGCTTTTAGAGGAACAGTTACATGTTTGGAGTGGTTAGAAAACTTACGAGTCTCCTTAACAAACTTGCCAAGTCTTGTCACAGGAGAAGATTGTCTTGATCCCATGGTGCAAAAAGGGTTTTTGAGTCTTTACACGTCCAAAACCTCTNATATATATATATATATATATATATATATATAAGACTTTTATATTATAAATATTTTAGTAATTTAAACGAAGACATAGACGAGGAGACGATGAATATGATAAATATTTACATTCCTATTTCTATCCATATAATTAAAAAAATCAGATATTACATGTATTCATACTTATATTTAATCAATGTGGGAAATTCTGGTAAATGAATTCAAATAATATTTATGGAGATAGATTTATTTGTCATCACCATATTTAGGTATTTTCACCTGAGTTCTTATTAAATTTTTATTGTTTATTTTTTTCCATTAACTAGATTATGTGATTGTAATGTTATTTCATTCTACATATTAAAATATATAAATATTTATATATATCGTATGATCGTCCGTCAACCTTGGACCGGACGGTCCAAGCTGTTAATCATGTCACAAACATGACCACACACTACTCCTAAGATCATGTGATTGTTACCAATAGGTAGAACGATTAGCTTATAAAGAAATTACCTCTAATACTGATAAATTTAAGACAAAGTATGTTTATTATCAATTAGACCGTAATTAGGTTATCACTTATTCAAAGCCTATTCTAAAATTTATAAATACAGATTTGAGATAAAGAAATAGGTGATGACATTTAATAAAGATTAATAGTCTGTGTTGCTGAATCTTTACTAATTTTAGCATTAGAGTATAGATAATCTTTAAGTACAAAGACAAACGGTAACGCAAGAACGAACATTTGAATCACTAATAACGTGTACAACAATATACCATTGACCCCAACCCCACACCTGAAATAATTAATATAAAAACAACAATTAACCTTTATCATTTTCATTTTCGATTTCATTATCTAATACATTTTGAATATTAAAACACAATAACACGTGAAGTAAAAAAACCCAGAACAAAAATAAATCAATTATTTTGATGCTCATAGACTATATTTCGAGTATATATGATAGTGGAAGGAAGGTGTGTTTGTACTCATTGTGCATGAACAGTGATGTATAGAGAAGAACAACATAAAAGTGGAGGAGCACGAAGATAACACTCAGCACTTACACTGTCATCATTTTCCTACATAGCCATTGGCCATGTGTTGCCAAAGCAAACACGTGGAGAAAGTAAATAGGGACATTGAAAAAGACAAGACAAAATGTCACAAAATTCTCTACAGTTGTTTCCATCATGAAACCATAAAACAAATGCTGTTTCAAATGTAACAATCCATTAACCAAAAGAAACCATAACTGTCACTTATTTTTTCTTGGTTGTGTCACATCATTTCCATGGGTCGGTTAACGTGGTTTACTAAAAAATAAGGCAAGTTTTACTTCATTGCGTAAATAGGGCACATGCAAAGCAACTTCTCAAAGATACAGGACAATAAAATAACAGGGAAATAAAAAAATCTATATTTCTTTCTATGTTTTATATTACTCACTAATATACTTTTTCATTACTGAAAAAACAAAAAAGTAGTTGGTTGCCAACTTTTACTTGTTTAAACCTTTGGATCGTCTTCATATTTGTTGATAATCTCAAATGAGACCTTGTTTTTTAAATTATCAAAATTGGTTTCATATATTTATAAAATTAAGACAATTAAGTTCTGTCCATTAAGTTTTCATAAACGGCGTTAAAATTTGCTAATGTGATACACACTTAATCTGCTGATGCATGTGTCTTATATTACGTGAAATTTGTTATTTAATTTGTTATTAAGTCTTGTATAAGTGTTATATGACGTGTTATGTTATATTATTTAATTGTTCAGATTAGAGATTTCTTCGGATTAGGAGATCTTTAATGAAATAGGATTTGAAGCATTGTGACCGGAAAGGACCCCTCCGCCAACGACGACGGTGATGGTTGTTGAGGTGGTGAACAATTGAAACCAAGGGAAATTGAAACCTACTGAAACAGAAACAACAAAAAGGGTAGGAAAAAAATTAAAATTTCGGGAGAAGGTGTTTTCAACACATGGTTCCAGAATCTTCTTCCACCCCATCATCTAGGGAACGAAACCCACTTTGAAAATCGAGTTTTGGGAAAAACCTAAAAGGAAAACTGGGAAAGATCACGTTGGGGGTATCGAATTGTTGCGTATCCGGGCTTGTGGGAGAGGGTTGAGGGTGACACTGTGAGGGAATAGTGAGAATAAGGTTTTGGAGGTGAGAAGAAGGGTTAATGGCAGAAATAAATTTAAAGGGGAGTAATGGTGGTTTCCGAAGCAGTTTCTACGGTGCTAAAACCATGGATACGAAAGGAGTTTAACAATAGAAGAAGCAGTGATGGTGTTTTGGTTATAATTTTCCAGGTTGAGCCCTACTCCCTTTTTCATTGAGCTAATTATTGTTGTAACTTTTGCTGAGAGTATTTTTAAATCAGTAAGTTTATTTACTTGTGTAAGTTAAAAAATTCCACATAATATAACAGTTTTACATTAGTAGATTAAGTGTGCACCACGTCAGCAAATTTTAACGTCGTCTGTGAAAACTTGACAGACAAGATTTAATTGACTCAATTTTTCAAATATTTGTACTCAATTGAGATAGTTTTACAAATATATGAACTCAATTGAGACAGTTAAAAAAACGAGAATCCATTTCAGATTTTCTAACAAATATAAAAACAATACGAGGATTTAAACCTATTTTTGAATAAGCCATAGATAATAAGTAAGTAAACCCTACTTTTGAATAAGCCATACATAGTAAGTAAGTAAGTAAACCCTAATAAGCCATATTAAGTAAGCTACCAATCATGCGTTGTTGTTCTGAAAAACATGTTTTTTGTTCTTACATTATGATTGATGAAACTTCTTGAAAAAAAATCGAAATTCAGAATCAATGATAGTGCTCTTATTGAAAACGAATACGACCTAAGATTGTAGATCACAAAACCAAGTGGGTAATTAACCTATCAATGGATGAAGAAACACTCTCCAACAACAACGATGAACAAGAAATTTATTAAGTCAAGAATTTCATTATTATATATCATCATTATTTATTTGGCCAAAAAAAAATCTAACTTTATATATGCTAAATGAAAATGAAGGTATAAAGATACCAATGTTACAATCTACTACATCTCACCAATTGAACTTTCTCTCTACATATTTTTCCCTTAGATTTTTCACCAAAGCATTCACAAATAGTTTAACTAATTACTCACAAATAATTTTCAAGAAAAAATTTTAATTAATTATTCACTTAAGATAATTGATAAAAAAAAAATCACTCACATTATCTCCATTCTATGTCTGCGTCCATTGCTATCTAAAATAATAAAAGTATCCGGGTGTGGTTAAGATTTGAAATAAATTTGTAACATAATATACGTGTTAATATAGTATGTATGGTTAAATCATAAAATAATATTAATATGATACTTAAATTAGGCTGGATTTTACAATTGATGTTTTAGAATAATACATTTCTTATCTAAATAATATTATCATGTGACAAAAAATATTGTTTATCAAACAAAAAAAAATATTAGTAATACATTATTATTCACAAAAATTATACTTTTGTAAGAAATATTAATTCTGAAAAATATTGAAAAGATTATTTTAAATACAAATCAAATACATCTTAAAGGGTATATTGATCTACTTTTAAAAGTTGAATATGTTTATAACAGTGTGTATATCAATAACAATACAAGGAATGATCCTAACAAGCTCACAAATTAATCAAAATTTATTAACATTTACTAACTAATATAAGAGAATAGAATATAAGTTTATAAGAAAAAGACAAGTTTCATGATGAAATGATATGGCTAGCATTTCTGTAATAAATAATGATTAAAAAATGTTATCAATTATTACTTTTTTATTATGAGACAAGATGTGTGAGGATTTGATTTGATATTGCACCATTTGTAATATTCTTCTTCCAAGTGCTGAATCCATACTCAACAAAGAGAATATGTAGAATATGCTATTAAAATGAAATAATTCATTTGTTTCAAAAAAAAAAAAAAGAGAGGAGATTTTAGTGGCATTGGTCATACCCTATTCCATTGTGTATTACACTATTATCACTACTAAATATCATGACACTGACTACACTACTCACATCAATACCCACAAAGAAAAACATTACAAACAAATGCATAAAAATAGGACTGCTAAAAATATGTTATATTTTGTTTGATGTGTTCTCCCAAAGCACTAGCAATGTATATATGTATTTAACTATGAGATCTTATAAAAAATTTAGAAGAAGAAAAAAATTAAGACAGAGATATGTTTATCTTTTTTTCTTTGCTTATTTTTGTATATATCTATGTGCTTTCATAAAGGAACATGCAACCTCAGGTATACTCCTAAATAGAAAATATTTACCAACAATCTTACTTAATGGTAATACTACAATAAGTAGTCTCATTCATTAAATTCAATATTTGAAAACTATATTGATCATACATATGAACATCTGAACCTAACAAAAAAAAATCAACTATCAAATCCAAAATAACACCACCAAATTTCATTTGATTGAAAATTGTGTTGTCTTGTCTTTTTCATAAACAATTTGAGAATACACACATGTGTATAAGATTAAATGAATAAAACAAGAAGTTATTACAATACATAAAGTAAACATAAATATTTTACCAAAACCAAAAGGTGATCAATCATATTTCAAAAATAGTCAACCTCATTATCATTCTCCACTTTCTTCTTTTCCCCATATATAAAGGTCATGCAAATACATAAATTGCAATAGCCATAGTTACAATAATGAAGCTTGCTATGAGAGTAGCTTCAATCCAGCCACGTGCATCATCCTCTATTTCTCAATACAACCCTACTTGTCCATTTTTTGAATCCAACATAAGCTCACAATTCAGCAAGTCTTTGCCATCATGGAACCAACTCAAACCCCCCTCAACCAAATGCAACTTTCCCAAACTTAGACACAAATGGAAGCAATACCAAGGAATTGACCATTGGAAAGGTTTGTTGGATCCTCTTGATGATAATCTACGTTGGGAAATTTTAAGATATGGCCACTTTGTAGATGCTACATATAACTCTTTTGATTTTGACCCTACTTCTCTTACCTATGCTACCTCTCTTTATTCAAAAAAGTCACTTTTGAAAAAGTGTGGTATGGAAAATTATGGGTATAAGATATCAAAATATTTATATGTCACATGTGGAATTCATGTGCCAACATGCATAAATAAAATTTTCAAAAAGTTGTGTATCAAATCTAGTTTAGTCGGATACATAGCAGTATGTGTAAATGAGAAAGAAATTGTTCGACTCGGTCGACGAGACATTGTTATTGCTTTTAGAGGAACAGTTACATGTTTGGAGTGGTTAGAAAACTTACGAGTCTCCTTAACAAACTTGCCAAGTCTTGTCACAGGAGAAGATTGTCTTGATCCCATGGTGCAAAAAGGGTTTTTGAGTCTTTACACGTCCAAAACCTCTACACGTGCAAGTTTACAAGAGATGATAAGAAAAGAGATTGGAAGAGTGATTCAGAGATACACTAACGAACCCCTTAGTTTAACCCTAACGGGTCATAGTCTTGGAGCTGCACTTGCAATTTTGAGCGCATATGACATAACCACCACTTTCAAGAATGCACCGATGGTTACCGTTATTTCATTTGGTGGACCTCGTGTGGGAAATGAGAGTTTTAGGAAGCAATTGGAACAAAAAGGAATTAAGATACTAAGAATAGTAAACTCTTATGATGTTGTTACAAAAGTTCCGGGGTTTATTGTGAACTTAGATGAATTGGTAAATAATGAAAATGTTGGTGTGGGAATTTGGTCAAAATGGTTGTACAAGTACATAGAAAGCATGCAATTGGAATATGTTGACATTGGACAAGAGTTGAGACTAAGTAGTAGAGAGTTTCCATGTCTAGATAAGAGAGATGTTGTTATGTGTCATGACCTTAAAACATATCTTCATTTGGTCAAAAACTTTGTAAGCTCCTCTTGTGCTTGCAAACATAAAAAGATTCACTCCATTCAGCCATGAACTTTTGGATCATCTCCATGTATTGAAGAGAAGAAATTGTAATTAGTAATATCTCTTCTCTCTTAGTTATGTAATTTTCTTATCTTTTTTGTGAAAAAAACTCATGTTTATATAATTTATACCATCCATGTTCTTTAATTTTCTTTCTTTTTGTAAGATAAGGTGGGATTTTTATTTGAAACTTGAACCACTTAAGAGGTTTTTGAAACTTACTTTATAATCAAACCCTATTCATTGAATTAAGATGACTAGTTTGTTCAAATAAAAGAAAGATGATAGTTACATAGATCACATAGTCTAAAAATTATGAAATTGGTTTAATAAGTTAATGTTTCTTTCTGATAAAAAAATATTAATATTTTATAAATACTTTGCACAAAATTGTACAAATATTAATGTAGATTATATATATATATATATATATATATATATATATTGTCAAAAAAAACTTTGATAACATATTTATTCTAAAATATTTTTTCATGCTAAGAATAAACTTATAATGTTATAGTAAGCTTAGATTATAATATTATAAATAAGTTAATATTATAAGAAGACTTATATGTCATAACTAACATATGTTGTATTATACCATTAATAAACATGCAAACCCAATAAAGATTATGTGAATAATAATAATATGCACATACCTAGTATGTTTGAAGTTGTGTATGTGTCACATGATTTTGTAATTAACCAAAAAAATCACATTAACTAAACATGATCTCACTTATAATCAAATAAAATTATTTTTTGATAACATTATTTTTTTTATATAAT